AAGTGGTGCCTCGATGCGCACCCGGGATCCGAACCCGGGCCGCCAGCATCGCAGCGCGCGCACTTAACCGCCAAGCCACAGGGCCGGCCCTATATTGATTAGGTTTTGAAATTGTAATACTTTGGATTTATTGGGTTAAATGTATTATTAAATTTTCCTATTTCTTTTTACTTTTTTAAATGTGACTACCAGAAAATTTTATATTGCATATGGCTCACATTATATTTTGTTTGGACAGTGCCAGGCTAGTGCTGCTTTGCTCTGTCTCTGTATCTACACTAGAGAAGAGATGAGGTGCCTGAGGCTAAGAGGAACCATACAACTTACCCACGTTCCCGTGTGAAGTATATGGTAGACTGGATTCAAGCTCAGATCTATCTGGCACAGCCCCAGTGTTTCCACTCACTGCACCACAGCATATCTCAACTGGTGTCATTCGGTTCTGGCACAGGAGAGAGAATACTGTCCCAAACACTAATGCTTAAAGGTAAGAAATGCTGCTTGCTTGAAGAGTTTTATTGAATTTCCCTCAAAATATGGTTACAATCTCATGAGTTTTATAGTATTACTTTCAAAACGTTTATTTCCCAGCACATAAAAATAGAATGTAATCCACTGAAAAAGAAAAGCAAACAATTTACTCAATGATTCTGCTACGTTTAATTCAGAAAGAACACATTTAACGTGAAAACTTTGCCATAGATACATCCCACAGATGACAGAGCTGGAGACCCTTGTGGCAGATCTTTCCTTGCTTGCTTTATTTGACTCTTCTGGAAGCTTAAGGCCTCTAAGCTCTGTGACCTAAGATGCCCCATGGTGATGCCTGGGTGATAGCATGTGCTACCTTGTGGCATATGTTCCCTTATCTGGTTGTTTGCAGATCTGGCTGCCTGGGCCATGGCCTGCTCCACAGGTAATAAGTATGTTCAGTATTGTTTTCACCTTTACTCCCTGACCTCTTTCCCACCTCTGCTATGATCAAGGTGGTAGGTCTGCCCATGTACTTATTCTGAAGAAGGGGAGCACATTTTCTGTTTGGAGATTGCCTGGCATCCCCAGCTTTCTCGGTTTCTCCCAAAAGACAACTGTAGACAGGAACACCCTGCCTAACTGAGACACAGACATCAACCTAGCTACCTACTGTGGGTAGCCAAAGACCTCTCTTGCTTTACTCGCAGGGTCCTCCATTATTCTGCCCCAGTGCTAGGTTAGATGCAACTTGGATGTGATGATTTTAATCTCTTCCTCTCTGTATAATACTGCCACTACTGGCCAGAAATGGTACCCAGACTACTTAATTGCCTATGGAGCTACAGCATGAAACTAACGAGCTGCTCATTAATGCATCCATTGCTCTCTCCCTCCTTCCTGTGGTTTCTGTTCCTGGTTTAGAAGCACAATTAACAAGTTTTCTCCTCAGAGGCATATCTGTCCTGCAGCCGTCAGCTCTTTGAACATTTAACTTCATCCTCCAAATCATTACAAAAAATACTTAATGGCTCTGTGCCCAGACCTGACCCCTGCAGATCCCATTTGCAATGACCGTCAAAGGCAGATGGATCACCACCAGTAAGTACTTTTTGCATTTGGCTTCCAAATGTGGGAGTGATTGGGCAACTGTGGGTTATTAGGCTTTTCCAAATTAAATTCCTCCAAAGATATATTTCACTAATGGTATGGAAGGACAGTGTGCACCCCTGACAATGTATGCTAAACTCAGAGGGACAAAATCTATGTTCATATAAGATATTTGTTGAGGACAGAATGAAGAGACTGCTATCCGTTGGTCTCTTTTTCCTTCATATTCATCATGTCCACTAAGTATCAAAAATGATGCTCGAATCTGCTGCTCATTCCAATGCGATATACCAGCTTGTTTTCTTTTCAACCTGCAACTCTCGTTCCTGAATTAACTTACTCTAAACAGGCTCTCTGTGTGTTCTTTGCTTTAGATCAGGGGGTCTACAATTCAAATACCTTCAGGGTCCAGACAGCTAATGTAAAAGTGTGAAGTTGCTGGTTGAAAGCTATTAGGGAATGAGAGATTGTAATAAATTAGAGCTTTCGGCCTCACCTGGAAGAATGCAAATGTAGTTATAAAAACACACACATACTGCACTTGCCAAAGGAAAACATGTCAGCTTAGATTCCACTGAAAAGCAACCAGTTTGTGACCTTGCCTTTAAATCAATTCCTTAAACCTCCTTTGTAGAGTCTGAAGCAGAGGTTCAAATGGGGGCTCGGGAGGGGAGGTGGAGTGGCAATTATTGTTTAACATTGCTTGTGATTCTGATATCCTGTCTGCCCCTCTGGTTGAGAATAATCAAATTCAACATTAACCAGTTCTCACATAAAATATATTGGCATGAGGGCATGCTCATTCCCACTTACATTCATGGAGTGCTTCCCCATGTAGCATGTGTATTTGCTACTAGTTGCAGACCCAGATCACATTAATAGAAATCCAGTGTGATCTGAAAAGGAATCAGATGTCTCTGGTTTTTACAGCCGTCTGAAAACAAAGGCTGCCTATCTGCTGAATTTCAAATACTTCCAGCGTCTCTCTAGGGCCTGTTTTGATCACACTGTTTCCCCAGGATTGGGAGTTAGTTGGAGGGGGGAGGACAAAAGTACCTTCAGTTATTGCCATGGCACTCAGGCCTGCCTGTCATAGGCCTTTATTCTGGGTGTAAGAAAGGCGGACTATCTTTAATTTGCTAATTTTGCCTGAAAGCTGTCAACAGAGGGCTGAGGAATGATTTATTCTTCTTGGTTTGATTTTCAATTAAGATATTTTCCTTTCCTTTTTTTTTTTCTTTTTCTGACAAGCATTTGTAGAGCAGTCCAGGTCTAAGGCTTAGTTGAGTTAGGTTGGGGTTAGTCGTGAACAAGGCTTCCAAAGAGTTGTGAAAGGTGACTGTGATAAAACATCCAGAGACCAAAGGGAGTTGGGCCCAAGTTCAAATCTAGAGAAAAACACAATTAAAGACACAGTTTCAGTGTCATTTGCTCCAAGTGTTCAATGATCAGTTGACAGTGGTGACAGGAAGTTGTCCCCTAATATCCCTTCTCCTTTATCTGCAGAATAATGGGACTATTGAGTTTTAGTTGGGCCCATGGGCTCTAAGAAAAAGAACTATTTCAAGCCTCTCTTTCAGCTTAGGTATGGCAATGTGACTGAATTGTGGACAGCAAGATATAAGAGAAAGTAGTACGTACAATTTCTTGGAAGTGTCCTTAAAAAATGGAGGTACGTTCCTCTTTCCTTTTCTTCTCCCCATCAGTTGGAATTCAAGTGGTAATGCCTAAAGCAGCCATCTTGGGCCATGAAATGATGCTGGGAGTGAACAGCATGCATGATGGAGTAAAAGGAAGCATCTGTGTCCCTTACACCATGGAGGGCCATACCATCCCTGGTCCCCCTATCTGGACATGTAAATGAAGACTAGAAAGTTTCTGTCTTATTTACATTGCCTGTCAGAGCGGGGGTGAGGGTGGGGGAGGCAGTTTTTCATCACTCACAGCCAAATCTTTTCCAAAAGGCATCAGGTGGAGGCCAGGGCCAGGGCTTGGACATTCCCCATGCTATCTCTTTGAGGCAGAGAGGCTTCAAACATCATTACTATCTCCCTTGTGGGAAACTCCTCCAGGGAGGTGGATGAAGTTCTTCATTTCATCTTCCTTCTATTGGATCTCCTGTCCCTTCTTTCCCAGCCAGGTCTCCAGCAGGCGCAGTTCTCCCCTTTCATCACCATCACTCCTCACAGTACTTAACTATATTCTGCCTTTTAGTCTTCTTATATGTTTTGTAGACTGTGATAACTTGGGGATGGAAAATGTCTCTTTTGTAACCCCTTCTCCCACTTATCATGCAAAACAAAGCATTACTTAAATTTCAGACACTCCATAAACTCCATAACTGAATTAATTTGGAATGCATTTTTAACCCCACTCATACCGTTTCCTATGTTTTTTTCATTCTCATCTTCAGACTTTGTTCTTTAGAGAAATTATCTCCACAGGGGCCTGAATTATAATACTCTCTAAAATAGTGACTCTTAACTTGAGGAGGAGGAAGAGGAACTTCAGGGAATCCATCAACTCTGCCAAGTTTTGTATGTGGGAAGCCGAGCTTTTGTCTAAAGTGAAGTCCACAGCTTTCATCAGAATTTCAAACAAAAACAAAAACACATAACTTCCACTAGCCTAAAGCATATTAAAAATCTTTGGCTGAAATAATACCTAAAAATGGTTGTTGTGTGGGGGTAAGGGAAGGAACAAGGCCTACTTGGACAATTCAGTTTATAAAGAAGATAAATCCACATATAGATCTATATATTTTCTGTATCTAATGTTTCATTTTGTTTTGTTTTGTTTTTTAAAAGGTTTAACTTTGTCTTCATGGTGTTAAGGAGAGACCTTAATTCTTAATCCTAGCTAAAGACACAACAAAACAGAAAAGATCAAAGATGCACTGGGAATAAACTGAAGCAATGTTTTATTGCGACCACAAAGCACCAATTCAACACGGCATTGACACACAGAGATTGAACAAATGTCTCTTTGAACAGAGATGTAGTAAGCCCACTTTTTCAAGTTCTTAAAAACAAGTACTCAAACCAGGAATCAAACAAAGCATCAGAGCAATTAAAAAAATATTACACCATCATGAAGGAATATATATAAAAATATTCTGTACTAGTAACAAGGCTTTTTGATCTGCAACTCTTGGCAAATTTCTTCAGAAACAAATTATTATAAATACAAACCATGAAGGTGAAAAAATGCTTTCTTCGGAAACAAAGAACCAATTTAAAAGCAAATCTATGCAGAATATACCATCACCCCCTGTGAAATGAATGTGGATGGATATCCCCAATATGCAACAGAGTTTTTCTTTTCAGAGCTACCCTTCTGCTCCTGAAGGGGCCGTGATGCACGTTCATTTCAACCATCGCAGCATATCCCAGTGAAACCTTAATAAGGTCAAGTGAAGGACCCTCTATAAAAAGGGTGTTGGCAATTCCATCCAAACAACACAAGCTCTAGGGAGCAGAAGAATTCAAGGGAGACAGCGGTCCCCTTCTCTTTCCTCCCCCTCCCCAAGTTTTCTTGTTTTTAATCTTCCTACATCTGTAACCAAAAGATGCTCATTCCATTCAATTCTTTTTTAAGGATTTTGGAAAAGCAATCTATGAAAAAAATCCCCTTGGTAGGGAGGGGTGTCTTATCATGTCAAAGATCATTCTATTTGACAAATTCCACAAGGAAAATAATCCCGTCCACATGCTGTCCTTGCTCCTCCTGGCTGAATTCAGGTCAGCCGATGGATTGCCTAGACTATCCAATAGGATAACGTTTCATTTGATTGAAATTCTTTACATATACACATGTATGTATTCTGTTTGCAAAGTTTCATCACATGAAACTAAATTATGTCATTATGTATTTTTTGAGATCTAAGACCCCAATGTGACTGTACTATGAAGAGCTGTTCTTTAAATGCTTTGTCTGCAGAGGTTTTACATGATACTCATAGATTTTCAGAGCAGGCCCCAATTTTAACTGAAGTCCTGTCAACACATCATTTCTTGTCATCAATAGCAGGGATTTTCCATCAATTTCCTATAATGGAAGCAGAGGGTAAAGCCAATGTGTAAGTCCAAAATCTCAAGGATAATGAAGAAAAAAGGAAGTTCAAAGGAAAAAGTCATATTGATTGTCCCCAAGCTAAAAACATTACTTTTTTATTTGTGCCAAAATGGGAAAAATGGAATCTTCTATTTTTATCTTCCATCTTTTACTTTTATTTTTGGATTAGATACAATCTATAGCTGATCTTGTTTTCAAGATCACATCTTAAAAAACTGACAGCAAGCTTGGAGTATGTACCCTTAAGGATCAAAGATGTTGCTTCTGAAAGGAATGATGACACTTTCAATTTATAAAATATATTAAAGTTTATGCAGAATTTTTGTGTACTTAATTCCTAAAACAACTATAAATTAGGATGAGCAGGGATTATCATGTTAATGTTACAGGGAAACCAAGGATCAAGGCAAGAAGTTAACCTGGCCAAAATCAAGAAGTTAGGAAAGGGTGGCAGAGGACTTGAACTCTTATCTGCCTACAGCCAAAGCTGATGTTCTTTTCATAACCCCCTTCTGTTTCTCTTGACACGCAGAAGTAAATATGTGTTGTCTAGATGAACCAATGAGGACTACAGTCTTGGGTTTTCTGAAATCTTGTCAATCACAACGATGGACATTGGCAAAATGACTCACTCTCTGTGAACGTCTTTCCTGCCTTTTAAAAGGAGAACCATCCTGCCATAACTCAAAAATCGACCTCTCACGCTGAGGGCCCTACCACACTTACTCTCAATGGATCCTCAAGATTCCAAATAAGCTAGTGAAAGGCAGAGCTTTGCCCACTGAAAATTCCCTCCCCTGTTCTCCTCAGAGTCCACTCCCTACACCCTTCAGGTAGCCAACCAGGTACGTCACTCCACATACCCTGGAGACTACAAAGCTTTGGGGTGAAATAAAAATGGGCTTCTCATGAAAGAGATAAGGACCCCAAATACAGAAAGTAGTCGGAAACCTTTAGAAAAGAAGCACTGAAGATAATGCTGAATACCACCTTATTTTTGTTATTGTTTATTGTGGGGACAAGCTGAGCTGGTTCTTAGGGAACTTGGGTTCAAGAGATGGACCAGCTGTGCATGCTTGGTAAGCCTCAACACATCTGTTCATGACTTTACCCACATATGTCTATGCCTACCTCCCCCACTGATGGACAGACAAGGGGACCCAGTGTGCAACTGCAGCTACATAAAACTGTGACTCCCTCCCACACCATCCCCAAGAGGGCCATTGCTCCAAACTCTCTCATGTAGTTTGCCAGGCTGTGAAGAAAATGCGCTTTGAATGTCTGAGTATGTGGGAGAAATAGCACTGGGCTAGGGGCTGAAAAAACACCCACTTTGTGGCCTCAGGCAAGTCCCTTCTTCCTCTGTCTGCTCGGTTGGTAATGTGGGGATATTGAGTTTCCGACAGGATTCCATGAGATACCACTCTTGCAAATGCTCCTTGAGCTATAAGTTGTACAATCACTTGTCGTTATTCCTCGACAGGACCATGGCCCTCATTTCACTTGTCAACCACCCTACACGAACCAGAGCAGGAAAAGGAATTACTTCTAATCAGTCTATGTTGTTTTTGAGTTTTAGAAGCCTTTATTTTGTCGACTACTGGAAAACAGAATGGCTCACATTAATTTGTGAGAGACAACTATTCAAAACCATAGCACATAAAAAAGCAGTTGGTTGATATGGCAAGAGTGGGAAATTATTTAAGGACATAGGAATTGACTTTCCAATTCTAAAGTGTCTTTTTCTATTTAGGCAGCTAGTAACCCCAAAGATTGCGCATCATTAAAATCTGTTAAGTATGAGAGTTGGCAAAGGAGCTTTTGACACCTGGCAACCGCAGTAGTAGTTCTGAAGGCATTGTGAGGTCACAGGAATCTGAGTCATAGGTTATTTCAAAGCTCATGCTCTATCTTACCCACTGAGATGAATATTGAGTCACTTGGAATGCCTTAAAAAACAGCAAAGCCCTTCATGCTCCCTCTCTTTCCTTTGCTGTTGTTTGCTTGTACCTAACTTACTACATGTTTTAAACTGGCCTCAGGAAGAGATGACACTGCTTTCATTTCAATACAAGAAAACTTCCTTGACTAACTGAAAGTGAATTTTTTTTTATCTCTGCTGGCAAAAAGTCATTCTATAACTCAGCACTTCTGTCAAAAGCCAAGTAGTCTAGGAAAAATGCTGAAATTCGGATTTTATTTAAGACAAAATGGAAAATCATGTTTCATGCTGCAATTTGATTTTCCCTTTGTTCAGTAGCCACACTGCCATTCACCTCAGACTAGGGTTGGGAAAAAGAAAGCTCCATCTGGAAATCCTCATTTTAAACATTTTGAAATGAATATAATTCATAGATACAACAAAACTTTGCTCTTAACCCATGACTATAGCAACTCAGATGACTGGGAGTGGATATGGCATAACGTGAGCTTCCAAGCTGAGCAAACCGCAGACTGAACTCTGTCTCCACAATGTATTGTGTGACCCTGGGTAAGGGACTTAACTTCCCTGAGCCTCAGTTTCCTCATTTGTAAAATGGAAATAAACCTCTGAAGGATTTTGGAGATTGGAAACGATTCATTCATGTAAGGCACCTAGCACAGTGCCTGACATCTAGGAGGTTCTCAATGACTACTAAGTGGAAATGTATAGGCTCTGAAAGAAACGGGATGTGTTCCAATTCCAAATCCATCTTCTGCTTCCTTTCTGGAAGTGTGCTCCCTGCCCGAATGCTATCCTTTGCCAGAGGGATACAGGTATATTTCTGTTCAAGTTCAGAAAATTCACTGAGATTAAAAAAGTTCAAAGACTACATAAAACATTTATTTCATAAAAATCGCAAACACAGGAAAGTTCTTTAAGAAAGCTAATCATTCGTTATATAACTTCTATAAAAGATTGAGAGGCAAATGAAATGCAAATTTTGCCAGTAGGCATAGTATACTAGAATGGGCAAGAGACTGGAAACTGGAAGACAGGGGTTCTAATGCAGACTCCATCAAGTAACTTTCCACAAGGAACCACCCTCTGGATTCCAGTCTGATTATTAGTATAAATGAAGGGGTTGGAGTGTGACCATATCCAGTCAAACAAACAAAAAAATCCCATGATTTTGTAAGTACATCATGATTAAAGCCAAAACAAAAAAATAATTCACATCTTGGGATCTTGTTTACATTTCTGTGTTAAGGGATAATCATTTGTTAGTTTCAGTGAAAGTTTTTACATTGCTTGTATCTTTTGTCTTCAAGTAAGAGTAACCAAGTACCTGTTGGGCAATAATATTCAAATGTTTGCATACTTAATAAGTTCCAGCAAGTACTCATGCATAGAAGTAAGGTTTACAGATGACAAGTATAAATATCCAATGAGGGTGAGACCCTAGATCTAGAAATAAATGAGTCGTATCCATAGATGTTACAGCTCAGTAGATAAGCATGTGTTTTAGAGTAAGACGCTATTTTACTGCTTATTAGGTGAGGCCTGGGGCAAGTTTCTTAATCTCTCTAAGCCTCATTTCCTTATCTAGATGATGGGGGGAAAGTAGCTACTGTATTTCACTGCTGAGAGGATTATTGAGATAACACATGTGAAGTAGAATTCCTGACGTCTACTGAGCACTCAATAAATGCTAGCTATTAAAAAAAGTATATTAAAAAATCTTAACCCATTTACTTTTAACTCTTTCTCTCTGCCAACATTAATCTACACATAGGTAACTCTTTCAAATGAGCCTAATTGTGAAATGGTCCATTGGAAATGTATGGGAAGAAAGAAGATGAAATAGGAAGAGAAAAAGCAAAGAGAAAAGAGGAGATGGGAAGAGGCTACAAAGAGATAAAGAGTGGCCATCAAGAAAGAGATAACTGGATAATAGCAAGGTACAGAAGGAAAAAAGTCAAAGAGAAGTTAATGGGACTTATGATGGAAGGGTCCTGCAACTGATTCAGAAGGCCATATTTGTGGTGTTGGTCTCTACTGTCCCAAATATAGTGCAGGGGAAAAGAAGGCTCAGTTTAGAACCAGAAGACGGGCTGGAAGCCAAACTCTGCTGCTTCCTAGTTCCTTGTACAAGATCTGGCCCATTACTCCCTTCCTCTGTGAAATGAGAAGTTTGGACTAAGCTGACTTCTGTCCATTTCAGTTCAATACACTCTCAGATTCCAATTCTGTCTTTGATAAGCATCAGACTCACCAGCTTCATAGGAAAGTCTCCTGTGAATGAACACAGCAGCAACTCCATATCAATGATGTAGAGGAATCTGATGAAATAGGCTTTCTTTTTTCACTTCAGTCTTCCTTCCCACATTTTCTAGAACTTTCTTTGTAACAATTCTCTTGCCATTCACTATCTGGCTACAAGTGGTGACCAATCTGAAGTTTCCCATTCCACTGCTTACAAAGGGTACAAATGTCCCAGAGGAAGGTGGACTTGGTCTGGAACCCAGAGATACAAAAGTGGAAAATCCTGTGTCCAATATGGGCATCACATCAAAGAAGGAGGAACAGAATCTCCTGGCCCTACCCACACGGCCAGTGGAAAAATAATCTCCTGAGAAGAGGTCTTCATCTTCAAAGACATTTTGAAAGCCACGGTGTGGCCTCTCAAACCACAGTTCCCCCTTCGAATAGTTTTTGTTTCTGTTGTCTCCATAGCGGTTCCCTCTGGACTTGTCATAGTTGTTGCGTTTCTCAGCATCGGACAAGATCTCATAGGCCTCTGCTACTTGTTTGAATTTCTCCTCAGCTGCCTCCTTGTTTTCTGGGTTCTTGTCTGGGTGCACCTGAAGAGCTAACTGGTGATAAGCCTTCTTAATATCAGAAGAGGAAGCATTTTGAGGCACCCCTAGTACTTTGTAGTAATTCGCCATGTTTCTTTAAAGGAAACAGAGTCTATTCTCTGAAGAATTTCCATGTAACTTTGGAAAGGAAGATGGCGAACTACTCAAATTTACACCAAGACCCTTTGAATCTTATCACATGGTTCTTGGGACAAAGTCCCTTCTGGGGGAGAAATTCCTCTTTGGGGTAGGTATCCTCTACTATGCCCCCACCCCCTCCCTGCCCTCTGCAGCTGTGGGTGGAGTGACTATGAGCTCAACACTATCAGCCAATGACTCTCAGCTGATACTGTGCTTGCCTTGCATTCCTATTGGTGGAAAATTGGTGGTGGATAATATACATATTGGGGACACTTCATCTAGTTTAAAAAAACCAACATTGATAAAGTCTCACTTGCTTATGTTTTTTTTTAGTTTCCCTAGTCTGGGTAGGCATGTCATCCGAAAAGATTCCTTTATGACCAATGTCAAATAGTGTGTTGCCTGTATTTTCTTCTATGAGTTTTATAGTTTCAGGTCTCACCTTTAGGTCTTTGATCCATTTTGAGTTAATTTTTGTGAATGGCGATAGCAGATGCTCCACTTTCATTCTTCTGCATGTGGCTGTCCAGTTTTCCCAACACCATTTATTGAAGAGATTTTCCTTGCTCCATTGTATGTTCTTTGCTCCTTTGTCGAAAATTAGCTGTCTGTATATGTGTGGTTTTATTTCTGGGCTTTCAATTCTGCTCCATTGATCTGTGTGTCTGTTTTTGTACCAGTACCATGCTGTTTTGATTACTATTGCTTTGTAGTATGTTTTGAAGTCAGGGGGATTGTGATACCTCCAGCTTTGTTCTTTTACAGATGGCCAATAGGCACACGAAAAGATGTTCAACATCACTAATCATCAGGAAAATGCAAATCAAAACAACACTAAGATATCACCTCACACCCATTAGAATGGCTATAATCACCAAGACAAAAAACAACAAATGTTGGAGAGGATGTGGAGAAATGGGATCCCTCATACACAGCTGGTGGGAATGCAAACTGGTGCAGCCTCTATGGAAAACAGTACGGAGATTCCTCAAAGAATTAAAAATAGAAATACCCTATAATCCAGCTATCCCACTACTGGGAATCTATCCAACAAACCTGAAATCAAGAATCCAAAGAGGCTTATGCACCCCTATGTTCACTGCAGCATTATTCACTATAGCCAAGAAGTGGAAGCAACCTAAGTGTCCCTCAACTGATGATTGGATCAAGAAGATGTGGTGTATATATATATACAATGGAATACTACTCAGCCATAAAAAAAGACAAAATCATCCCATTTGCAACAACATGGATGGGCCTGGAGGGTATTATGTTAAGTGAAGTAAGCCAGAAAGAGAAAGACAAACACCGTATGATCTCACTCATATGTGGAATATAAACCAACACGTGGACAGAGAAAACTGTATTGTGGCTACCAGGGGCACTGGGGGTAGGGGGTGGGCACAAGGGGTGAAGGGAGACATATATATGGTGATGGACAAACAAAAACGTACAACCCAAAATTTCACGTTATAAACTATTAAAACATCAATTAAAAAAAAACCCAACATTGAGCAGCTTGTTTATAGAGAAACTATTTGTGTTGCTCAAAAAGAAGGCTTTACCTTGTTTGTTAAAGTAACAGAAGAGGGGCCAGCCCAGTGGTGTCACAGTTGGGTTCGTGCATACTGCTTTGGCGGCCCAGGGTTCACCGGTTCGGATCCTGGGCGCAGACCTACTCATTGCCCATCAATCCATGCTGAGGCACGGTCCCATATAGAAGAGCTACAAGTCTACAACTATGATACACAACTATGTACTGGGGCTTTGGGGAGAAAAAAGAAAAAGAGGAAGATTGGCAACAGATGTTAGCGCAGGGCCAACCTCCCTCAAAAAAAAAAAAAAAGTAACAGAAGAAATGGGTCTTGCACTTAAATCAGACAGAAAATCTGTTTTTGGCCCATTGTGGGGGCTAATGCCTTTGGTGATTTAATGGGTATCTCCCCGTGTTATTTAATATTTGCTGCTGGCACAAAGTGGGTAATAAAGGGGTTCTATTACAAAAATAATCTTGTACACATCTCTAAGGAAGGAAAAAGAATGAAAGTCACTTCATCAAATGAAGAAACTGGGTTAGAGATGTCTGCCTAGATTTAAAAAAAGCACAGATTTAAGGAGCAGAATTAGAAATGAAAGCTTTCCATGTACAGTCAGATAAAGCTTCTTCACTTCAGTTGATCTTTTCAAGTTAGCCTTTTTGAAACTCATCTCTGGACTTAAGAACAAAACGAAGTAGTAGCATCACAACAGCAAATGCTTTAAAAAATGGCTTTAAATCTCAAGTGTAGCAAGGGCTGCTGGCTGCTCTTTTTCCAGGACACACAACGACACACTTCCCAGACTTCCTTGCAGTTTGGTGTGGCCATGTGACCATGTTCTGGCCAAGGACATGTGGAGGGACGACGTGCATCTCTTTCAGGTCTGACTCATAAAACCACCAATGTGTGCTCCTCCTTGCTCTTTATCCTTACACCAACCGGATGTCAATGCCCAGATGATTTGAAAGCCTCTGGCTGAAGATGACAGAGTCTCCATCAGGCTGGGTTCTTGAATTACAGTGAAGCAGAACACCGTCACCAACCACCTCGGACTATTTATATGAGAAATAAACTTTTACTGTAATGAAGCCATTATACATGTTTTCATCTACTGTGAGAGCAGGTAGCCTACTCAAATACACCAACAACCATTTCTACAACTTCACCTTCACTTTTAGAACCTACTCCTATAATGCCATCAACCAGAAGAGTCCTCCCTCTACAACACTGAAGCCCAACATCTTATCTTTCACTCCTCACTCCCATTACAGCCACTGTTTTATTTCAACTTCACTTTCTCCAGGGTTATGAGTCCTCTTCAGACTCTTCTTTTGTAGAGTCTGTACCCCCTGGTTGGCCCTGGGAACCATTCTTTTACATGTCCTCTCAAATTGCCCTCTTAGGCTATTAGCTCTCTACTGTGCCCATGCCATAAACACCCATCCAGGAACAGTCTAGCAATCCAGCTTTTCTGACTTCTATACCTGGTGTAGCTGGGAAAAAAATCAAGAAACCATGAAGATGAAGCACTATACATGAGCAGTGTTCCAGTCTCAGCTGGGTCGGTAGAATACCTCAACAGTTCTTTTATTTATCCTGGGTCAGCTGCCTCTCCCATTCCCCTTGGTGGCTATTCTTAACCTTCACTCTCCTCTAGTTCCTTATTAAACCTCTACCCATCCCTGTCCACTCCAAGCAGAAGAGCTTGCCTCTTGTTCAGCAAAGGAAATGGAGGCTGTCAGGAACTCCCTTCACGTCCCTGAGGACAAGGACAATCTTAGCTATATCTGTACACATCCTCACCTATGCCCCCAGAGCATAGGAAGGATAGAGGAAAGACAGGAAAACAGAGAAAGATATCCCTGTCTTGCTCAGAACTAATCCCTTTATATTTTTTTAAAATAAAATAGTTGATTTTTTTATTCACCAACTTGAAACATCATGTACTTTATGGCTGACATTAAATTTTTAAATTTTATCATGGTAAAATATATATAACATAAAGTAGGCTATATTAACTATTATTAAGTGTACAATTCAGTGGCATTAATTACATTCACAATGTTGTGCAGTCATCGCCACTATCTATTTTTTAAACTCTTCCATCATCCCAAACAGAAATCCCATTAAGCAATAACTCTCCCCTCTCCCTTAGCCCTTGATAACCTCTAATCTACTTTGTACTTCTATGAATTTGCTTATTTTAGATATTTCACATAAATGGAATCATACAATATTTGACTGGCTTATTTCACGTAGCATAATGTTTTCAAGGTTCATCCATGTTATAGCGTGTGTCAGAACTTCATTCCTTTTTATGGCTGAATAATATTCCATTATATACATATGCCACATTTTGTTTATCCATTTATCTGTTCACAGACACTTGAGTTGTTTCCACCTTTTGGTTATTGTGAATAATGCTGCAATGAACATTTGTGTACAAGTATCTGCTTGAGTCCTTCTTTTCAATTCTTTTGTGTGGAATTGCTGGGTCATATGGTAATTCTGTGCTTAACTTTTTGAAGGACTGCCACACTGTTTTCTACAGTGGCTGCACCATTTTACATTCCCACCAGCAATGCGTGAGGGTTCTAATTACTCCTTATCCTCACCCCTCCATACTCTTTTGATATCATTCCTTTCCTTATCCTCAGGGAGTTTGCTTCATTTAACTGTGCTCAATTTCAGTCAATTTTAACCTGTCCAATTCTTCTGGCTACTTTCCTGCATGTAAATAAATTTGAGTGTCTCCTCTCTTAGAAAAGAGCCCTCATCCCTACATGACCCTCCAGCTACTGGTTCTCCCTCCACTTGCCTGCCTCCCACTCATTCGTCAACTTGGAGGAAGGGGTTCTCCACCCCCCACACAGTCATCTATACTCCTCCCCCCACTCCACTGAAATTCCACCGGCATTCACAGACCCCATCGAGCTGCACCTTTTTGAAGTATTTGACCTTGTTGATCATTTCATTCTTCTTGAAGCTCTCCCCTTCATTGTTTCTATACAACCTCTCATTACTGGTTCTCTGCCCACTTCCCTGAATGCTCTTTCTCAGTCGCTTTTGCTCGTTGCCTTTCTTCTCCTAACAATTAAAACTGTGGTGTTCTGCAGGGTGCTGTCCTTGGCCTTTTCCCCTGAAAAGGTGCTGTCCTAAAGGCCTCTCTCATTCCCACCCTCTCCTATGACTGCTGATGATTCTCACATCTCTGTTCCCAGGCCTCAATCTTCCCCTGAGCTGTCTGCTAGATAAATCCGCTTAGATGTATTACAGGCCCTCAAATTTAAGGTGTCCCAAACTGCGCTCATTGTACCCCTTTTAAAACTTACCTCCCTGTTAAACAGACATGCTGGTTGATGGCACTACTTTACAACCACTCAACCTGGAGACTTAGCAGTCACCAAAGCCTCCTCCCGTTCCCACCCGT